AACCCTGCTGTTAGTGCAAAGTCGGTTCATTACCTCCCTCCTGCCCAAGACAGAGCAATTCTGCTCCAGGTTGTCTTTGCAGCTTCACATGTCTGCTCAGAAATCTCCTGGCCGACCTTGGCCCTTCTTCCATCTGCGTTTGGTAACTTTCCACTGTTCTGAGCTCCGGCCTGCCCACAGTGGGGTGAGAGAAAACTGGTTGTGCTGGGCAGGAACCACTTCTCATCCCCAGCTGGTTCCACCTGGTAGCCCACTGTTACGAGTGAGTGCCCAGCTCCCCAACCCTGCCACAGGTGGGTCAGGGGATGCCCCAACACAGCTGGGCAGGACACAGCAGGCAGGGCACCTTGGCATTTGTTCCCACACTGTCATTTCAGCCACGGCCTCTGGATTTGTGTGGTCCCAGATCGCTTGGATATCCCCCACCCAGCTGCCGATTGGTGTGTGCAAGGGGTTAACTCACTCTGGCATCTAATGTGTCCCCATTTCTTGGTGCCTGGGAGGCACAGCAAGCACCTCACCAGTGCAGGGAAGCACCCTCTTCTCCTGAATACAGCGTTGGGTCTACCCTATCTTTTACTTGTGGGCAAACCTAAGGGTGTTTGCAGCTCCATCCCTTGGGCCACAGTTTGCCCTGCTGGGCTGAGGTGTGGTGGGAGGAGGTGATGCCCACTGCAGCCCCTGCTGTCCTCTGTGCAGCCTGGGGACTGTGCCTGTGCAGTCACTGTCCTGCTTCAGCATGGGATCCATCCCCAAAATTTGCTGCTGGCCCTTTGCCACCAAGCCAGGGAAATCAGGGGTCATGGCATTTTCACAGGGTCTGTGGGATGTTCCCACCTGGTGCTTGGGGCTGCCATGCTCACTTGACATCCTGCCACCCTTCACCACAAACCCTGGCCCCATCCCTGTGTCCTGGGGTGCCTGGGTTGCCCCTGCACTGTCTCCCCTTGCTGTTGACCCCGGCAGTGCATCAAGCTGGAGCTCACAGACACACCAATATGGCTGGAAAACTGGTTGGGGATGCAGCAAACCCATGTTTGGCATCCCAGTTCTGCTCTCAGCTTCCCTGGAAACATGTCCTTGTGCCAATGGGGTGGGGAGAGCAACAACCCCTCTTATACAAGGAACCTTGAGATCTTGTTCCTTCCTAGATAAGCCTTCCCTGAGGGTTTGTTTATTAGGAAACTTCCCCCCCTCCCAATCCCTGAGCTCTCCTTTGCTCTTGAACCTGGAGGAGAAGAAATACTTGAGCAGGAGCAGCTGTACCCACCTGGGGTTAGAAAACCATAAAAGTTGTGCAGCTCCATTGACCAGGAGCTGCTGGTCTCAGAGCTGTGCCGGGGACCTGCTGTGACCCTGTGCCCCCCCTGCCCCAGGAGAAGGGAGGCTCCTGGCTGGCAGGGCGAGGGAGGGATTTGACTGGGTCCTTCAGCTGGCGACTAGGACAGTTCTTGGCTTGGCAGGAAAGTGGGGAGGACATGCAAGTAGAGGGACTTTGGTCAACCATGACCAAGAAAGATGGCTATCAGGTGGGCCTGCCATAAAGGGCAGGTAATGGCTCGCTATCAGATGCCTTTAGGGTGACCAAATAGCAGTGTAATGGGCCCTGTGCTGAAGTGGGCTGAGGGCCCTGGGGGTACAGATTGCAGACTGGATAAGCCACCCAGGTAGTTCAACTCCCATCCATTATTTAAATGCAAAGGTAAATGCTTTCATCTTTTCAACTGGAATGGTGCCACCTCCTGAAGGTCCCTTACCAGGCACAGAAAGGTCCTATGCTTGTGGCCCAAATGCAGGATCCCTGGGTAGGGCACTGCTCTGGACAGCCATGGCAGGGCAGGGAGGCAGTCATTCCTCCATGGGGGTCCCACCAGCACCCCTGGGGACAAAGGCTGAGCAGCATGGTGGTACTGGGGATGTAGGACTTGACCCCACACCCTACTGTCTGCTCTTCCCTGCACCAGGACCCAGACTCCAGTGCTGTGGCCCCATGGGCCAGCCGTGGTAGCTCAACAAGGGAGCTAGGCTGCCTCTTTCCAAAGGAAAAGGCTGTGTGTATGCACAGCAATTAGGACCCTCATGGCTCCTGTGAGGATATTTCTCCTCCTGACGACTGCCTTCTGACATAGCAAGCTGCCCCTCTCCCCAGCATGGTACATGCTGGTGAGGTCCCAGTGCTGATCCAGTTGAAGGAAACAGATAATAACCATCCACATAACTACACACCATGGGCAGCCAGTGTCAATGTCTGGTCACATCCTGCTGGTGGCTAAACCTGAGCCTCTGAAACCAGGAAGCTTGTGGCTCTGTAATGGAGAGCCATGGTGTGGGGCCACTTCGGAGTTCAGCCAGTGCAGGCAGAGCTCCCCAGAGAGAAAAAAGCAGACAGCAGCAACTCTCACACAGAGGTTTTCCCTTTAATGGTTTGGTTTTTGTTTTGTACATTCGTAAAACTGTGAACAATAAATACTGTGTGATTGGCCTTCACCTCCCTCTTGCCCCCCCGGCTTCCTGCAGAGGTGAGGGTGACCGTGAGCAATGTGGTGAGGGCTGCTGGTGCTGACTCTGTTTGCAGGAGAGGTGCCTGTTTTACAGAGTGGGCACTACAGAGCAGGGCAGCATCCCAGCGTGGGGTGGTAGGATGGAGTCAGGGGCTGGGGGAGGAAGGAGGCGATTTGTGTGCAAGCGGTATCTCAGCTAAAAAGGAGTGAAAGGCAGCACTGTCTGGTGGTCTGATCTTCTGCTGAAGCCCAGGGCTGCTGATCAGAGCTCAGCTACTCTTCCAATGTCTTGGAGGTACCCAAGTTCAGATAGGGATCTCCTCAGAAAACAATGTGATGCTTGGGGCTGGGAGGAGATGGGGCTGCTGGGTGGGCAGAAGGACCCACACGTCCTGTTGTCCCTCAGAAGAGGTAAAGGCTGGGGTGGGTAGAGAAGGGTGTCATGGGAAAACGCGGCTCCAGCTTCTTGACTGTGCCTGTGGGTGCCCTGCAGTGCACTGGGCAAGGGTCCTGGAAGGAAAGGTGCAGAGAGAAGCTGGTGGGGGGCAAAGTGGGGAGCCCTGAGACAGGGGGACGGGGAGATGCTGGCATGAGGGACAGCAGCTGCAGGGGCTGTGTGAGCGAGGGAGCTGGGAAGGGGTGGGTAACAGCAGGGCACAGGGTGGCAGAAGAGGTTGGAGAGAGACTGGCAGGCTGCAGGGAGTGGTGAGTAATGTGCTTGGTGTGGAGGGGGCTGCTGTGCTGACGGTGTTGGCATCTAAAGATGACAGCACTATTCAAACCCGAAAGAAAGGTCCAATGAAAGGCTCTGAGATCCTGCACCCAAGCTCTGGCATCTGTTCTGATGGGGTCTCACGACCTGAGAAGCAGCAGGACGTGGCCCATCAGGAAGAGCTGGAGCTGGTTCAAAAGGGCCACAGTGCTGAGCTCATCATATCTCCTTTTGAATGCCACCCTGCCTCACACTTTTCTCCAGAGAAAAGAGACAAATAACTCCATAGACCTATGTGCCCTAAGCAAAGTCCTTGAGTAAGAAATAAACCCCTTTGATGAGGCAGAAGCTTTGTTCAGAGAGCAATCAGATGAGAAGAGTCAACTCTTCCTGTTGTCAGTGTCCCTCAAAGTACTTGAGAATCCCAAGTCCTATGTGAGGGCTTGCCTTCTTCAGTCACCCATAGTAGGACTGTCCACTTTCTACCCAGAGAAGAGCCAGTGCCTAAAGTTCCCTTGCTGTGCTGTGTCAGTCCCTTATTTGTGAGTTTGCTTGCTGTCCTCTTTGTCCTGCCTTCCTGCCCCCCCATCCTAACTGTTCTCATCGCAAAGAACAAGTTGCCAGGTCAAGTCAGTGGAGGCCCTAGGTGAGCATGGGGAGAGGGTGGCCTTTCGGGATGGCCAGTGCTCACTTTGCAGAGGGCAGGCAGCAGGAGCTGCCTGGGTGGTTGGCTTTCCAACGCTCTGGCTGAGGGGTGGCTGATCTGCATTGTTCCAGCTTGGGACAGGCCAAGTTTGTCCCTTCACAGTTGTTATTAAGGTCTTTGCCTCTTGAGCAGTGGAGTTTGTGGCAGCATCATCTCACCCATTTTGCTGTCCCATGTGTTGTCATTTGGGGCATTAGGACTAATGGGCAGGAGCTTATGGGAGCAGTAGTCTGCAGGGATGGGGCCTTTGTGAGGAACATGCATCATGTCTGCATGGGGAGAGGCCATGGAGACAGAGGGAGGAAGGTCTTTTCTGTGTAAAGGCAAAAGAAGGAGCCAGACACTAGAGGACCGGTGGGCAGAAACAAGTCCTCACAGCCCAGCTGTCCCCACACATAGGAAATGCCCTTGGCAGGAGAGCTCAGGACCCAGGTGTGAAGCTGTGGCAAGGTGGCTCCTGTGTCATCTTGTCATCGTAGCTTGAAGGATGTTCTTGTCTCCACAGTGCGGAAAGTACTTAGTCTCTGGGTCAGTCCAGCTGGGCATCCGATTCACTGCTGTGACCCTGAGGCCACCATGGGGCAAAGTCACATGTACAGGGTGACAGCCACAGTCTGTCTGAGCACAACCGCGGCTAGATTCAGGCTTGGCCTTGTAGATACCCTGTGTGGTTCCTCCCCTGTCTGCAGGTCATGAGAGCTGGGTTGCAAAAGTCCCTGAGTGTCTCTGATGAGAGGGCTGGATGAGCCTTCTGCTGAAATCTTGGTGCTTTTAGCAGTTTTCTTTTCTTACCTGCTAGTAACTTCCTTTTCGAAGGGAGCTCCAGGAGCAGGGAACTGAGGCTGTGGAGCATGCAGAGCCCAGGAGCATTGTCCTTGATAGTGGGGCAGGACAGGGACTGGTTTCTTAAACCTTGTGGACCCAGCCATGGGAGCTAGCTGGGACCCCACACGACATGGCCCCAGCCAGGCAGTGGTTAAGCTTTCAACCATAGGGAAGAGGTGGAGCGGAGAGATGGGACACTAGGAAGGTGAAGCATGAGGTGGTCAGTGAGATCCAGGAGCTTTCAAGCAAGGTGGACTTAGGGGTCAGCATGCAGAGGACTGTGGACACACACTGTGTCTGTCTCGCTGGGAAGGCTGCAGGACAGGGAGCGCTGCATGGCCCGGCAGCCCAGGGGCCCATCCTCGGTGGTGACTGGGAGCTGAGGGCCCTGGGTGGTGCTGGTTCTGCCATCAGAGCAGAGTAGGACACTGGAGTCTGCCTCGCACTTAGTGGTACGGCTGTAGTAGGGCTCCATCACATGCCGGAGCTCCAGGGGCATGGTGAGCGGCAGGACCTCAGCCTTGATCACAGCACCCAGGTGGGCCTCAGACGAGGATGCCTGGAGGCTCTCAGAGCGGCTCATCTTGATCAACAGGTCGATGGTTTTGTTCTCGGCCTCAAGAAGGCAGTTTGACAGCCCCTCCATCTCTCCAGGCTCCCTGGTGGCCATACATTTGTTGAGGGTCCCTTGGTCTTTGCTGTGGAGCTTCTCACTTCCCAGATTCATGTTGCAGGGCTCCTTCTTGGCCTGCTGGATCTTCTCCAGACCTTCAGAAGATCTCTTAACTGAGAGGTCCAGAGGCCCCTCATGGGGTTTGGTGGCTTTCTCCAGTGCCTGGTGAATGTGGTAGAGTTCCTGTCGGATTTTGACTAGCTGGTCCCTCAGCTCTTTTTGCCCAGGGGTGTCCTCCTTGGCAAGGTCAGACAATTTCTTCTCCACCTCTTGGTACTCCTCTAAGGTTTTGGACAGGTCCCCGATAAGCACGGTTGTGGTCTCAGAGTCTGTCACAGTGGCAGAAGTCTCTTGGGGTCTGCTTTGCTTGCAGAGGCCATGGTCCAGGCCAGCACCTGCAGAGGGAAGATCTTCAGCATCATTGCCTCTCTCCAGTTCCTCAGGCTGGGCTGTGAGGACCTCTGTGTGCCAGTGGTCCAGGACCTTGGGGATGTGGCCAGGATTGGCCCTTGAGCCACTGCAGAGAAAAAATTGATAGAATGAAAGAGACAGGAAAATCCTTGGGCATGTGTCCAAGACGAGCATTGTCAGATTGAGCCAGGTTTCCTCCACTGGCTGCTGCCAGGATGAGGCCCTTCCAGGAAGGGCTCTGGTCTGAGCGTGCAGAGCCCTGGCTGGACCTGATCCTGGCATTGTTCTCCCAGGAGGCGGAGGGACCCAAGCACATGCTATTTTGTAACACCAACAAACAAACAGAGAGACCAGCCTAGTCTGGGGAGATGGTGCTGGATAGCGATCCCTCCTCAGCTGGCCAAACCTGGATTCTCCTTTTTGGAGCACTGGAGAACATCAATGGAAATGACCATCCCACAGCCCTGAAGGCCCAGTTGGAAGGGGTCTCTCCAGCCAGCCTGAGAGCAGAGAAGAGGCAGGAGGAGATAGAAAACCATGGAGAGCTTCTCCAGAAAAAGCTCCTCTGGGTGCCAAAAGCAGTGGGTTTTACAGTGACATTTTTCTTGGAGCCACAGCTGGACTTGCACAATCAGGGGAGGAACTGAAATTTTGTTAAAAGGAGTTGTGCACATTTCTAGCCCCAGGTAAAAGGAAATGTTTGGAAATGTGACCCTCCCTCTGGGCTTTGAAACCAGAAGGCAAATCAAAGAAATGCAAATGTGAATGTTTAAAAATAGGAAATGATTGTTCCAGCAACCATGGGATATCTAAGGACCCAAGAGGAGATTTCCTGGTGCCTGGGGAGGGCAGGTCCACACTGCACAGACACCACCTCACTTCTGGCTCTTCATAAACCAGGGGAAAGCGAGGGGCAGCAAGTGGTGACACAGCTCAGGTGCTTGGATGCACCTGAAGGTTATTTGGGTCTTTTGTTCCTGGAGGGCAGAAAGCCCTGCTCTGAATGGACACTGGCTGTGTGGGGGTATGGACCATCAGCCTGAAGTGTGCTCAGCCTTTGGAGACTTATCTCATGGCTTAGAGGCAAGTGGGTGGATCAGGGAGATGATAGGGAATGAAGATGATGTTTGGGGCCAGCCAGATGTGAGGAGGAGGCAGAGGGATCACAGGCACCTTACCTGCTCTGGTAGCTGAGTTTTCCAGGCATCAGCCTTTCAGGCCCTATCAAATCCAGCCCACTGGCAGTGAACTTCCTCTTCAGAGAGTTGCCTGGAGGGCTGCTGGTCTCCAGACAGGTCACCACCGGTAACTCTGTCTTCCTGGGGATGCTACTGGGGGCAAAAGTGCCATCCTTCATCCCCACCATGTTTTGGTAGATGTCAGTGGCTGGCTTTTTGCGCAGGTTGTTGAGGGCCAAAGCTGGGTTACTCTCTTTCTCTTGGGACAGCCATTTCTCCTCTTCTTCCTGCCCCAGCATGGCAGGGTTGCTGAGCTCAGAGGATGCCTCCTCTCTGACACCTTTGGACCAAGGAAAACCTGTCTTCAGAACTGGTACCTTCAGCAGCCCTGGTTTGATCTGCTCACTGGAAGGTTTGGCTTGGGGCGGTGTGGGCATGACAGAGCCTACCAGCTGCTGTGCTTCTGGCTTGCTGGAAGACATCTTGCTTTCAGTGGAGCCGAAGGTGTGCTCGAAGAGCAAGGGGTAGTAGAAGCGGGGAAGGAAGGCTGAGCGCTCAGGGCTCTGCAGAGGCTGGAAGTGGGAAGCGTGTGGGTGCATCAGCTGGGCTGTGGAGGCCAGGAAGGGCAGCTGAGCCAAATGCGGGTGTGTTGTAGCACTGTTGGCCATGGTGGGGCTCAGGTAGGAGAAGAGGCTGGGGTTTAATGGGTAGTTAATACCCAGCAGTGAGAGGTTGAGGCCCTGAGGTTCATGGTAGTCACTGTAGGCTGGAGGGGGGTAGCACGGGATTATGTTGCTGTCCGTACAAGGTGGGGAGACCTCAGGTGTGTTCCTTCTTTGCCCATTTGCCACCAGCTTCCACTGCTCCATGAGGATCCCACCGCTGGCCAGACATTTCTTTGGCACTTTGCAATGCTTTGGCTTAGCATCTAGGTCTGGGGAGCCCATTTCCCTGCTTTTCATGACGTGGTTCTTGAGGGAGAAGACGTCTGTGATGATGAAGTCAGGCTCCACCTCCTTGCAAGGCTTGTCCCTCTTGTTCTTGAAACCGAAGACCAAAGTGTTCACTTCTGGTTCAGCTGGGTCACCTTGGCAACCCGCCTCTTCATTTTTCTCTTTCTTCTCCCCGGCATCCATTGCCCTCAACAGGCCAGCAACATCTTCCTCCTCTTCTTGGAATGGGCCACGTTCTTCACCAGCCCCATCAGCAGGCAGGATCTCCACCCCTGACATGGGCTTGTCCTCATGGCCATCCCTGCTGGAGGCCTGCTTGGTCCTAACTGACCCTCCTGATGTGGCTGAGGAGTCACAGGTCTCCTGCTCATCCCGCCGCCCACGCAGACGGGAGCTCTCTGTTGCATGCAGGAGCCGCAGTTCTGGGTGGAGCAGATTGCCCTTCTTGTAGGGCCAGTCGGACTCGATAAGAAGGGAGAGGGAGTTCTTACACAGGCTGTACTTCATGTGGTTGTAGAGGTGGGACTTCTCCATGCAGGTGAAGGGGCACTGGAAACATTTGTAGTTGTAGGGCTTGCCCCATGGCCGTGGGATGTAGTGAGGCTTTTTCGGCTTCCTCTCCTTTTGCTTGTAGACTGAGGTCAGCTTGCAGCCCACGTCGTCCTTGGACATGGTGGTGGGTGCCTGGAGATGGCTCCTTGTAGGAATGGAGGGGCAGGGCACGTGAATCTTCCTGCACCTCTCCAGGAACCACTGTGTGCCCTGGAAGAAGAACAGGATGGAGCTAATGAGCTGTGTCTATAGCTCCCTGGTGAAATGACTCTGCTCCGTGGGCATCTCCTGACCCCAGGGAGCGGAGCTACTGCAACCTCAGTCTGGAGCTTCTGTGTTTGGGATTTAACCCAGGCCAGTGACGGGGGTTTTGCCCAAACCCTGTTGGGGTGCCCATATGTGCTGGCCCTGTTATTAACCCTCTTCTGTCAAACTACCCCAGAGGAAAAGGAAAACAAGCACTATTAAAGGTGTTGAAGCTAAACCATCTTGAGCTGACATTGAAGCTCCCAGGGACCTATGCAGCTCAGCTCAGGGACCATGTCCCTGCTGAGGGCAAAGAACAAAAGAGAAAGCCACCCTGAGCCCCAAACACTGTGCTGGGCATGGATCTGTGTGGCTTTGCTGTCTCGTGGGGTGCTGCAGCACTGGAGCCAACTGAGATGTTCCCAAGCTCAGGCACCAAAGCTGGTGCAGAGCTGGGCTAAATGCACACCTGCAACCATGCACATGAAGGCGCATTGGTGGTGCAAAGAGGATGGTTGAATGGACAGACTGGATGGGGAGACTGTCTGCCTTTAACATGGCATAGCTGCCCGGGAGTGGGCACGGGAGCACAGCACACCGACTCCTCGCCTCCCAGAGGAACTGGGGGTCTGCAGAGGGTTCATGGTCACAAAATCGAGGTCCTCCACAGATGGCCAAGCAGCAATCTCCTGCAGCTGCAGGGCAGCCCACACTGATGCCCACACCTGTGTCACTTCTCAGATTCTGCTTTGCCCTGGAAGGACTTGCTGGCTTCTTCCCTATTAGAGCAAAACCCTGCATTTTTCCTAGGGAGGGCGTTGTATTTAAGGACTCATTCTGCATGGATGAGGTTTATTTCTCAAGGGCCAAATCCTTTTCTCACACAGCAGGTCTCGGGGCCTCCAGTCTCCCCACCCCACAGCCAGGCTGGTGTGGGGATGCACAGCCCAGGAAGGAGAATGGGGCAGCAGCATCTCCAGATTGCACCGATGTGGCACCTGGAGCCTTTCGGGTAAACAATCTGCTCCCTGGCTTCTGGGGAGAAGATGACGAGTTTTGCACG